AACCGATGGAAAAAATCCAAGGAATTTCAAAACCAATGGAAAAAATCTAAGGAATTCCAAAACCAATGGGAAAAATCCAAGGAATTCCTGGGGTTTGTTTGGGAAGGGGCTGGATGGGTTTGGAATATTGGGAGGGAAATAAATATTTCCTTGCAAATTCCAGCTGGGAAGGGCTGGGGAATTCTGGGAAGAGCAGGAATCCTGGGATAGCAGATCCCAGGACAGGAGGTTTCTGTGGCCAAGGGTCACCCTGACATCCTGAAAATTAATTCAGGAATGAATTCAGGCACCAAAATCTGGGATTTGGGGGTGAATCCGCTGCTTTTGGGAATGTCTGGAGGTCCCAAACCCCAAATATTGAATTTGGTTCTTTCTCAGCCTCCTCCCCTTGCCCAGGCTGGGATTTTCCTGGCCGGAGACTCCAGGGATTGATTTTGTCATCACCGGCCTCATCCAGAGCTGCTGAATCCCTCACTTTTCCTGGATTTGGGAATTTTCCGGCTGTTCATGGACCTTTCCTGCAGAGGCTCCATTTTTGGGTGGTTTTGGGTCTTTTTTTTTTGTTGTTCCAACCCATTTTGCCCCCTTTGAATCCCCCAAATCCACACAGGAAACTCCAAACTCCCCAAAATTCACCTGGATTTGGATCCAGAAAGCTTCCAACTCCCCAAAATTCACCTGGATTTGGACCCAGAAAGCTCCAAACTCCCCAAAATCTCTGTGGATTCAGACACAAGAAAATCCAGGCCCCCCAAAACCACACAGTAAACTCCAAACTTCCCAAAATTCACCTGGATTTGGACCCAGGAAACTCCAAACTTCCCAAAATTCCAAACTGCCCAGAAGTCCATCTTGGCTGGAGTTGCAGTGAACGAGGAATCCATGGGAACATCCCAAGCTAAAAAACTCCCGAAAAAATCCAAAAACACCCAGAAAAAAATGGCTCAAACAATTTTAGGGATGCAGAGGAAATCCCAGGAAGCCAAAGCCGGAATCATCCCAAAGATCCTTCCCGCTCCTTCTCCCGGGATTCTGAGGCCTCATTCCTGCTCCCAGGGAAATTCCAGGAATTTGAATCGAGTTCTCTGCTCCTGCCCAGGGAGGTTTCAGGATTTATTCCGGATTTTTGGAGCTGGGAGAACAGCGGGAAAACGCCATTAAAGGAAAGAATGAGAGGGCTGAAAAAAATATTATTAATTAATTATTATCAACTATTAATTACCAGTCATTAATTATCAATAATTATATATGTTATACATTTGCATTTTATATTTCATATTTTAATAATAGAATAGAATAGAATAATTATAATTAATTTTCTTCTCCTGCCCAGGGAGATTTCAGGTTTTATTCCAATTCTTTGGAGCTGGGAGAACAGTAGGAAAACACACTTAAAAAAAGGAAGGAGAGCTCTGAAATAATTATTATATATAATATATATCATATATAATATATATCATATATCATATATCATATATATCATATATCATATATCATATGTCCTATGTCATATATCATATATTATATAATATATATTGTGTATAGTATATAATATATCATATAGTATATAGTATATACGACATATTATGTATTATGTATTATGTATTGTATACAATATATAATATGTATTATGTATTTTGTATAATATATATTATGTATTATTATTATAAAATCTATAATTTATAATATATGAAAAATTATAGATTATATATCACATATTATAGATTATATAATATATATAATATATTATGTAGATACAATTATATCTTATATATATATCATATATATGTGTATATATGTGTATATACATGTATATATATGTGTGTGTGCGTGTATATATATATATATATATATAAAAAATATACTTATAATAATTATTCTAATTATAATTAATTTTTTTGTTCTGCCCAGGGACATTTAAGGCTTTATTCCAATTTTTGGACCGGTGAGAACAGCAGAAAAGCGCCCTTAAAAGTTGGAGTGAGAAGTGTAAAAGCAGCATGATGAATTCCTAATTATTGTTTTATTACTTCCTAAAAATTATTATAATTATTAAAATTAATATATTTAGTATATAACATATCAAATTTATATAATTATTATGTATCATAGAACTATAATGATATATATATAATTACATATATGTAATAAATACTAGATATATTATATATATTATATATATTATTAAACATCATCATTATTCCTATATATTATAACTAGATATTAAGTACATATTAATATTAATATTAGTAATAATGATAATGATAATGATGATAATAATACAAATAATGATAATACAAATAATACTAGTACTAATACTAGTACTAGTACTAGTACTAATACTAATACTAGTACTAATACTAATACTATTACTAATAATTTTCTTTTCCTCGCCAGGGAGATTTCAGGCTTTACTCCTATTTTTCTGAGATGATATTTTAATTATATGTAGTGATATTCAATAGTGGTATTGAATGCTGTTTTGTGATATTTGATGTTATTTAGTGATATTCTATAATATTTTGTGATATTTAATTTTATTTTGTGATATTTAGTGCTATTTAATGATGTTAAATTATATGAATGTAATTATATTTAATGATATAATATATTAATATGTTATATAATAATATAATAATATATATTAATAATGATGTATATAATATACTATTTAATGTTATTTCAAGTTTTGAGTACTATTAATTTAATTCTATTTAATGTTATTTAGTAATATTTAATAATATTTTGTGATATTTAGTGCTATTTAACAATATTTAATTATATTGATTTAGGTATATTATATTATTTTATTTATTATTATATTTATTATATTATTATATTTATTGCTATTTAGTGATATTTAGAAATATTTAATAATATTTATTGATATTTAATTATATTTGTTTAATGCTATTTAATGATATTTTATACTATTAATTTAATGCCATTTAATGCTGTTTTGCGATATTTAATGACCTTTAGTCATTATTTTATTAATAAAATATTTTATGAATTTATTTTATTAGTTTTATGAATCTATTTTATTAATTAATGAAATTTTCCATGCTCTTTAATGTGTTCTCAGTTTTCCAGAGCTCTCTTGCATCCCTTTGATACTTCCAAGGAATTTTTACCCCCCAAAATGTGCTGGAAAAAACTGGAATTCTGCCATTATTGAGGGGCAGGAAGGGATTTAGAAACAAGGGAAATGTTGGGAAAAGCACATTCCAGCAGCTGGGTAGGGAAATTCATGGAATTTTGGAATACTTTGGGTTCCAAGGTTTGAAATCCATGGGCAAGGGATTTAAAAAATAATTAAAAATAACAATTTTTGGTGAAAAGATTTTAGGGATGCAACAAAAACCTCCTGGAGGGCCAAACCTCCATCCTGGGGATAAACGGGAAAAATCAAATTCCCTTTTTCACCTGGAACGGCGCCAATTTGATCCTTTTCTTCCTCCAGCAGCTCCTGATGGAATTGATCATCCACAAAGAGAGGAAAATCTCATTTTATCCCTTCCAAGGGGTTTCAAATGGAAATTAAAGCCAATTCCAAACCTGTTTTCCAGAGGGTTTTTCCCCAGCTCCGGGAATATTTCCTTGCTACATCGCCCAGAGATGGGAAAACCTCGCGGCTCTGGAGCTTCTCGGCACAAGAAAGAGGAATAAATGACATTTTGTGCCTTTCTGCTGGGGCTTCCTTGCACAAAGGCGCTGCAGCTGCTCCCAAATTCCAGCCTTTTAAGGGAAAACTTCCAAGGAAAAGTTGGAATCCGTTCTGGGCCTTGTGCCCTTCTGTTTATTATCGATTTATCTATTTCATTTCCTCAGCTCGGGTGAATCCGTAAAATTCCAGGAAAAGCTGCGGAGGGGCATTAAACGAGGGGGTTGAATCCCAAAGATTTTTCCAGGCCTTGGGAAAAAATTTCCATGGAATGTCATCCCTCTTTTACTTCAGATGAGAGGGCCTGGAGCTCTGGGCCAAGCTCAGTCTCAAACCTTTATTTTGCACCCAGAAATCCAGAAAAAATCCCCTGGATTCATTTTTTTGTGGCACTTGAGGCTCCAATTTGGGCCTTTCCCTTCTGTTTATGAGGCTTTGCCACAAGAATTTCCTCAGCTCAGGTAAATCCATAAAATTCCAGGAAAATCTGCAGAGGGTCATTAAACAAGGGGGGGTTAATTCCAGGCCTTGGGTAAAAAATTCCATGGAATTCTTTTACTTAAAACCAGAGGAGGGCCTGGATCTCTGGGCCAAGCTCAGTCTCAAACCTTTATTTTGCACCCAGAAATCCAGAAAAAAATTCCCGGGATTTGTTTTGGCAGCACTTTGAGGCTCCAAACTGCTCCATGCCTGATCCAAGGCTCCCATTCCCACCAGATCTGCCAGGATTTGGAGGGATTTTTACCCAAATCTCAGCTTGCCTCTCATTCAAACATCAAAACACGGCGAGGGATCCGTGCTCCCCTTGGCTCTCCCTTTTCCCCACCCCGAGGTGCTGCCAGGGAGGGATTTGGATCCTCAAGGAAATCTTTGGATCTAAAGAACCACAGTTAAAGAGTTCAGGCCTCGCATTCCTTGGACTGTGGGATCAAATCCCATGGGAAAAGCAGTTTGGCTGGGAAATCCCTGTCCCCTCCCTCCCCAGGCCCAGAAAAGAGTCACGGAATTCCTTCTGCTGTTTCCCACCTCAATCCTTCATTCCCAAACCCCCCAGGCAATCCCAACAAAAACCCGTGCCCGTTACAAGTGCTACGGTGAAGGAGTCAAACAAGGTCCCAAATCTCGGCGTGAGCGTCTGGTGAAGCATAAACTCAACATTCCCAGCGGGATAGAGTCCCAAAGGATAACGAGGAATTCTGATGAGGACCTTGGGAAGCAGCAGCAGCAGCTTCTGGAAGCAAAGCTGGAGGAGCTGGGAAAGGATTTAAAACTGCTGCAGGTACGGGAGGAATTTCAAGGTCAAAGGGGGGGGG